TGTTACCGTGGTAACCGCAGCCTTCGACGCTGACGAGCCTCACCGATTGGACTTCTGCCTGTCTCGTGATGGATCTGCACTGTCTCCAGGGTTACCCCGCTGGGCCAACTATGTAAAGGGTGTTATACACCATTACAGGGGTAAACAAGACTGTAAACACATTATACTGTCACAGTGAAGTAGAACAGATGTCAAGCAGAATCTTACAATCAAAATTTAAAAAACAAATCCAAAAAGTCTACTTTTTATGTGTCTTGTGTTTTAGCTTCTCCAGTCCCAGGTTTCAGGGCAGTGATAGCCACCAGTGTCCCCCTGGGTGGAGGACTGTCCAGCTCTGCCTCTCTAGAGGTGGCCTTTTACACCTTCCTGCAGCAACTCAAGCCAGGTTAGAGTCATATTAGAGGACTAGGTAGTGACTGAATACTTAATTCAAGTATTTCTGCGTTATACTGCTTTCTTATTCTATTCCACTACATTTAGTCCTTGCAGTTATTATACTCTACCATTTATTTTACTTATTGTTTTGATTTCGTTCAGATTTTAGAATAATCTGCCGATATATGATGCTGTATTATTCTTGATAAAGCTACCCAGTAGTATTTAAGTCATTATGCCAAAAGAAGACTTCTCAAGTAGTAAATGCCTTCAGATTCACTTAAGGAATAAGTGATATACAGTCCTGACCTCTCATCACCTCTCTGCTACCTGCTTGTTTCAACACGTGTGTTTGTTTTCAGTCTCACGTGGCACATTTTGATGGGGCCATTGCTGTTCACTCTTTGTTAGAGTGATGGTGGCCCGGCAATAACAGCTTTCATGCTAAAACAAAATGTATTCCAAGATATGGTTAGAGTGTTTGAGCACTCTTAACGTCTAACCATACTCGTACTGACAGCCGATGCTTATTGATTTCACTAACAGGCCGATGGTGTTGGAGCCGTTTGAGCTACTCTTTACTTTTCTTTTTCTCATAGATGATGGAAACCAGGTGTCCAAAGCATTAGCCTGTCAGCAGGCTGAACACACTCATGCTGATGTACCCTGTGGCATTATGGATCAGTTTGTATCTGTTCTTGGCAAGGAGGGCCATGCATTGCTCATTGACTGCAGGTAGTACAAGCATCTAGTGAGGGATGGTCTTTGGTTACACAAGATAGACATTGTTACTATATTTTCAATAAAATTAAAAAGAAAAAAAAATGTGTTTGACAGATCGCTGGAGGCCACCCCTGTTCCTCTGACAGATCCAGGCCTGGTCATTCTCATCACCAACTCCAATGTAAGGCACTCTCTGAGTTGCAGTGAGTATCCCATAAGACGCAGGCAATGTGAGACGGCTGCCTCCATTCTGGGGAAGGACAGTCTGAGGGATGCTACGATGAAGGACCTAGAGGGTGTGGATGTTTTTTTTCCTTCCTGTTGTAATCCATTTTCTCTTACTGTTTTACAGTTCATTGGCAGGTCTTTGAAAGCCTTAAAAACCACAACTTACAGTCCCCACAAACAAGGTCTTAAAGTATTTATCTGAGTCCAGGTTATTTTTATTAATTATATACAGTGTGTAGGAATTCAAATGATTGCAAAAGCCAAATAAATTATTTGCCAATAATGTACTGTGAGAGCCGGTAACTGAGAGTTTTAATAATATGAAGTAAAAAAAATTACATGGTTTATTCAACATGCCTAAGGTATCGCCTTCTGCCTGACTCAAATCTTTTCACCACTACAGTAATTCATAAATGTTTCACTTATTTTATTACTGCTTTGAACTTTTTAAGCATTTCTTTTTTGCTGACCTTTGACTTGTCTTTACTTTTTTTACACACATAACTTTAAGTTTCAACCACTTGTTTGCCATTTGAAAGCACTTATTAGCATTTCAGTACTTTTAGATGACTGTATATATTTTTTTGGTTTTTTAAACTCATCAGTTAAAGCTAACCCTGTTTATTGTTTATCGGTTCAGAGGCCAAGGGAAGGATGGATGATGTTACCTACAGAAGAGCTCGCCATGTAATTGAGGAGATCCAAAGAACTGTCCAAGCTGCTAAGTCTCTAGAAAGAGGAGAATACAAGGAGTTTGGCAAACATATGGTTGAGAGCCACAACAGTCTGAGGTACAGATAGCAAATGAGTTACTGTATAGGTCACTGTCAGGCATGTTGTAACTCGATGTCCCTGTGGCAGAGATCTGTACGAGGTGAGCTGCAGGGAGCTAGATGAGCTGGTGTCTGCAGCCATGGAAGTGGAGGGCGTCTTTGGCAGCCGGATGACAGGAGGAGGATTCGGTGGATGCACTGTGACTTTGCTACTCGCTGAGGCCATTGACAGGACCATACACCACATACAGGTTAACACACACACATGTATAAAGATGTAGCATGTAGTCGTGGTTATCAGGATGACCACGACCAGTAGAATCAAATAACTACATATTCAGTAAAGCTGGTAACCTTAAAACAAACACTTAGGAGACACTGTTATTGGTCAGTGATAAGCTTTTCAGTACAAACTTATCTAATGGCATATATAGATTTAAAAATCCAAGGCTTTTTTTTTATGCCCCGTGATATACTACACAATATGTGTGTATATTTGAGTTCTGTGTGGATTTAATCAGTCAGGATCAGGAGTGCTTTAATGATCACTTTGAAGAAATATTTGTTGCAAATTAAAAATAAAAACAAACTTACATGTTAGAAATTAAGATGAAATGCAATTAAATAAAATCTGTAGAAAGTACAATTCCAAATATAACAGTTCAGTAAAAGCTAACCTTGTGATGGAGCTAGGTTAGCTGTTTTAAAAGTGTGCTAAGCTAAACGTGACTTGGAGCAACCTGATGGTCATACCTGGTCTGAAGTTTTATTATAGGGGCAAAAGTTTTAAGCCATCATTAAATTTTGTTTGAAAACTTAGAATTAACTGTAGCATTTTTTTAAATATACAAATCCACAGAGAAATCTAGTTAGGGCCACATTAAGAAAAACTAAATTCATAATTTTGAGAATAAAGTTGAAATTTCAAGATTAAAGTCGAACATCTGTTTTGAGAAAAAAGTCAAAATGTGGACGTTACAGCTGTTGTTTCAAGACAAACTGCCACAGTTGCTGCACCATCTGAGTTAGTGAAATCATACTTCAGAATCGATTTTAGTAACAAGGAAGGAAATTTCTCTTTTAGCAACAGTGTGGTGATAAGTACAAGATGGTGCAGAAAGCTGCATCTGGTCAGACAGAAAAACCACACAAACTTAGAAGAGTGGATTTGTACAAAATGAAATAGCTGGTAATGGACAGATGCAAAGTTATTGATGGTTACAGCCTTGTGCAATATAGAGGATGTATGTTGTGTCACAAGATGGTTGAATTAATTGTTTCACTAAGTCATCTACACAAGACAGTTTGTAGAGGATATAGCAGTGGTAGCAATGTGTGTTGAAACAACAACTGTTATCTGAGCTGGCACTGGGGAGCTAGCCTAACTTGTGGGGACCAAAATCCTGGTCCCCACAAGTTACATTAAAATTATTTTTACACATTCTCACTTTTTATTATGCAGGCTCTTGCATTTTGCAACATGTTTGCCTTCACAGATATATGAAGAGATAATAAATATTTAAATAGATATCTAAATTTAAACAAATGAGTGGTGGCTCAAGACTTTTGCACAACATATTAAATTATGCCATTCTATGAGGGTTTATGGCTCAACGACATATAGTGTACACTGGTGTATGAACAGTCCATTACTGGCTACGTTAATGACCACTACAGTATAGGGGTGTGTGTGTGTGTGTGTGTAGTTGTTGGCCCCACAAACACTGCTAATGTATAGGGTGCAGGGTCTGATACAGTCAGCATTTTTGCCATCTCTTCTTCACATACACTAAATTTTATTAATACATGTAGTAGCTGTTTTCCAGTCTTATGTGCCAGAACACATAAAGTAATCATGCATTCATGCAGTGCTTTTCCTCTCATATGCTGTCTGTAGCAGCTGTATTATGTATTTAACCTCTTCATATTTCATAGTGTAGTTTTATCGTTGTAAAATTATCCGCTCTGCTGCCATTACACTTATCTATAGTTGTGACTGAGCAGATACTACCAACACCGCCTCTTTCGTGTGAAAACATCCAAGTGAAACTCTGGGTTAACAAAGTGAGAGCTATGTTTGTGTGACCACGTGTCTTCACTGCAGATATCAGGCTAAGTAAACTTAGATTACAGAAAGATGTTGCTCACAGTACAGGACCCTGTACAATTGTTATAAAGGGGGAAACTGTCCATGGAAACCAAAATAGTTTGTTTGTGCCAGGCTTTAAACATGCTAATCTTTTCTGGGCATTTTGACGTGAGAGTCTACGGAGACTGACTCGCTTTTGGGATCATCCTCAAGGGGCATTTTTTTGTTTTGTTTGACACCTGATCGTGCGCTCCAAAGAAGGGAATAATTTATTAGCATTTCCTTTCAGCAATTGTATTTTTCATAGGAACAAAATCAGTTTTTTGCTTTGTTTGTTTTTCGGTAGGTAACTCTATTTTTCTGTTTTTATTCTCTTTTCTGGTAAATCTTAGCATTCCTGACAGTGTATGAGAAGAAAAATGTGTGGGGCATTGTTCATTTGTTAACAGTGGATAAAAACACCTTTCAGTGAGCTATCACTTTAAGAGGACATTACAGACAAATCCCCAGTCCCCTGTGTCTTGCTCAGACATCTCCAGTGTGTGCGAGTCAGAGACAGTGGGTGAGAGCTGAGAATAAAAGCAAGTTTCATTGAGACGGAGCCAAGAGTCCAGTCATTTGCATGCTACTCTGGTTACCCGGTAGGCCTGCTGCTGGTTGACACAATTCAGGATCTTATAAGAGATGCATCAATAAAAGTTTTCGGCCGCAGATTATCATTGGAAATGCCGGCATCTATAAAGATGTCACTTTGACTTTGAAGCAGCAGTGAGAAGAAAAAGAACAGCAGCCTTTTTCATATTTTGAAACGGCAGTTTTATCTTCAGTTTCTGAATCAGATTTGGCAGATTTTCTTGTATCTCTCTGAACTTGGCTGTATCCAGGACACTGCTGTGGCTTGCTGACTGTCAAAGGAATAAAGGCTTTGTGGGGAAACAAAAGAAATACTTGAATCTTCCACAGTCCTCGACATTCCTGAACAGGGCATAATTCTTGTCCTCACAAAAGCAACACTGACTTCACAGGTATAAAAAGCACAGCTTCACCTACAGGATGCTGGATCTCAACTCTTCAGATGACAGCATGAAGAACTCTCTTAAGGACCCTGTGTGCTTGAACGTCGGTGGAGAAGTCTATACAACAACCTTAGACACTTTAACTCGCTGCCGTGACTCGATGCTAGGCACCATGTTCACCGGACAAGTTCCTATGCTTAGGGACAGCTGCGGCAACATTTTCATAGACCGTGACGGTAAAGTGTTTCGCTACATTCTGAATTACCTGCGCTCTGGCTCTTTGGATCTGCCAGATGGCTTCACTGAACTCGCACTGCTCAGGAGAGAGGCAGATTTCTTCCAGATACCCCGTCTGCTGGAGGAGATTCGTCACTATGAGGTATCGGTGCCTCTGGGCCTTAGAGGTGGGCCGCTAGGAGCCATCATGATAGTAAAAGTCGACTCCAAGGTACGTGTGATGAGGTTAGCTAGACTGTTCATCTGCTCATAATAGGTTTGTTTTATTAGGTTAGTCGATCATGTTTACTCTTGACCACTAACTACAAGCCAAACAGTTTGTTTTTAAGTGCAGAAAAATAGAAACAGGACAAAATGGTTTGCAAATTATTTAAAGTCCATAACCTTTGTTTTTCAAAAGTAGTACAAAGATAATAAATATAAAAAATGAGACATTATATTATTTTCTCAATTTGACCTCAGCAAACATGTGTGGACAGTGTCTGCACATTCAATAATGGCTCAAACATCAGTAAAATGCCTTCTTGAAGTTTGCACACCGAAAGAAAAAGTCCTACAAGTGCATATGCAGTAAGGCTAGCCAAAAAAAACCTTGTTACTGCACCTCTTTAGTGAATCCTGACTCAGTCAGAAGTATTTCTGCTTTTTAGGAAATGGTAAAGCAGGCACTGTCCCAAATTATTTGTTAAAATGACCATTTATTTCCTATAGCCTCCAAATTTGTAATTTTTTCCATAAATGCTAAATGACACAAAAGGCAGTTTCTGGTTGATTGCACTCTATATACAGTACTGTGCAAGTCTTGGGCAACAATTTCTTTATATTTTGCTCGGAAAATATATTACAGCACCACTGGCTGAAATGCAGCCTCAAACTGTGTTAGAACCTCCTGTTTTATTCACTGTTCACTCTTGCCTTCCCTCAAACGTTGTAACAGTTTGAACCAAGAATGTCAGATTTGGCTTGACTTGTTGCCATTGATTTTTTTGAATACAGTTCTTGTGTAATCTGCGCCTTCCTCTCTTGTCCTTTAAGAACCACACCTTGCCAAGCTATGCCAAGTTTCTAGTGAAGAGCTGTGTGGAATTGCCTTATGGGTAAAAAAACAAAAAAAACAATTTTATGCCTTTCGAACTCTGTTATTATCACCATTTATCTGATATTCAACAAAAGAAACTGGTCATATAGTTTCATGTTGTGTGCGTTTGTTTTGTTTTGTTTTCAACAGGCTGCTCCATTTTTCTAAGTGGTTTAAACACAAAATATATTCCTATTTTAAAAAAACAAAAACAAAAAAAAAAAAAACTTTGAAAGACCTTCAGGAAGATCTGTTTCTGAAGACTTCTTTAAGAAATGAGTCATTGGAAGCAAAATATAAAGAAATGAGGATTGACCGAAGACTTTTGCACAGTAAAGAAAGAAAGAAGGTGCATTTCCCAAACCCCCGAATACCCTCACATATTTACTGCATATAATGATGGACAGTCATAGTATTGGTGAAGTGCATTAAATTAGTTGCAATAACTATTGTGGTAGCAATAGTTATTGCAACTGTACTTTTTTTTTTACGCTACGACTGTACTTTTTTTTTTTTTTTTTTACAATTTATGAGAAAATGATGTTGCCTAACATCTTAATTGCATTTTGATTGTTAATTTAGCTCATACAGATATGATGGAGGTGACCCATTTCTTGTAAAGCTCTGGTATCAAATAGTGTTTTAGTGAAGAAGTTAACCTAATAAACAAAACTAGCCAACACCGAAGTTTCAATCATCCAGTTATAGGATAGTGGGTATGATTAGTACTTTCCAAATGTTTATGCCATTAATCAGTGATGATATTGACAGAAGTTTAAATGTGACAGTTGTAGTCAAAGTGAAATCTGTAAACGTTTAAAATTAAAAACAATCTCCTCAGAACTGTGCAGCAGGTCATCACCTACATATGTATGAGCGAGAAAAAAGGAAATACCCTATAAATAATATGAATTAATAAATAGTGTAAGTATGATGACAGGTGTTATTTATGGTTTTGGACAACTGTTATGTTTTAATCGATTTCATAAGTTAGTCAAGAACAGGTGCATAATATCATACCACATTCAAATTGCATAGTAATTTGGTAAATTATGGCTTAACAAAAAATTAACTAATTATTTAATATGAAATATGAGCAGAGAGTACAGTCATGTTGAGGGATTGGCTGTGTTTGGTTCTGTTCTGCTTCTAGTTAGACTCTATCTGTTCTTCATTCAGGTGTTCAAAGGTTTTTTTAATCAAATAACTTTTCCCAATAAACCATCACAGCTAGTGTTTTGTGTATATACAAGACATACACAGAGGTTGTGTTTGTGCACCTGTTTGCATGTGTAGCCATGGAACAACCGGTTCTTTGTTTGTGTATACTCTGGGGGATATGTAGTCAGTATGTTCTTCCCTCTTATTTCAGGTCCGTGTTCTCCATTTTAACTTGCGCCATGGGCCTGAAAACTATGAACTCCGCACATGCTCTGTACGAGCGTTCACAGTCGACCTCTTTTGTACCTGGAGGGCATTTCTAGGTTTGCTTTGTGAGCGCTTCTCCTACAGGACACCCCAGGGTCTCAACAGCCCTCACCTATGTCGTCCGAGGCAGAACAGACTGAAACTGGAATGGGTGCCAAAGCCTGATGAACTCCCACAGGAACAGTATGACAAGCAGCAATACAGGGGCCTAACTTTGTCTAGCCCTGAGGTTACGTGGTCGGATGACATGATGAACATGCACTACAGTCACTGTGAAATCACAGACATGCAAGGCTTTTTGGAGGAGCTGTTGAAGATATCACTTGCTGAGGGGTTCAAGGTTGATCTAGTCTCTCCTGACCCTGCAGATATTCTTAACTGCACTTCACTTCGTCTTGTGAAGTCGTGAGCACTGGATGAAAGTGACTAGGAAAACCAGAACATACCAAGATAATAAACTATAGGATAAGATGAGATAGCCTTTACTAGTCCTGGAGTTAAATTTGAAGCAATTAATTCTCTATGACATGGAGTTAGATTTACTGACACATTATGACTAGGAGGTCATTATCTGTGGTTCTTTTGCTATCATAGAGTTTACTAAAAATAATGCAAAATGTGCTTTATTAATAAAATGGTAAATAAAATGTACTTTTTTGTGGAAATTCTGATATTGAGGATACAACTTCAAATTTTAGTTTGGGCTCTGTTTAAAAATGGCAACTGTTTTTAAAAGTAGTGCAGTGTGAGTAGTACTAGAGCACACACCAAGGAATGATAATATTCACTGTTAGTCACTCGGCTAAATGTGTGACATATATTGTGACTCACTTTACAACAGTGTTGGGAAGGTTACTTTTAAAATGTATTCCACTACAGATTACAGAATACATGCCCCCAAATCTAGTTTGTAACGTATTCCGTTAAGTTACTCAATGAGAGTAACGTATTCTGAATGCTTTTAATATATTGTCATGCTTTTTACAACTACATGAATGTACTATTGCTGTGTGATTTAATATTATTACTGAAGGCTACTCGCCACTGAGTTAACATTGTTAGCTGGCATTATCTCAGGTTAGTTCATCGACTGCTTTCAGAACTGCACGATTATTTGCAGCTAGCAGGTTGTTAATGCTATTCATCAATTGTAACAGTCACACAGCGATAGTACATCAAAGATACTGAAGTGGCACATAACCCAGATAGCTACCACAATTAACACAAGGTAGTTGCAGTAGGCTAACGTTCGTTTTTTAAAAATAACTTCCTTCCAGATGTTTTTTTAGGTTGGGGGTGGAGTCTTTTGAGTGCAACTTGGTTGCTGCCAAACAGAGTTTGCATTGAATTGTCAGATTTCACCCATCCGTTTCCTCTTTAAATATGAAGTGGTGTCAGAATTTCCAAGTAAGAAATGCATTCCTGTTCATGCACTGCTGGCTCTGTTGTGCTGGCTTCGGATCCATTGTGTAACTGATGCCACCAGCATTAATAGGACTCTAATTTCGTGTTTTGTTTGGGTTTCCGGCAATGTGTGGAACTACCAAAATCAGAGAGGGGACAGCATAACATATGAAACAGGAAAAGACCACCTTGTAATCCATTAATTTCAACAAAGTAATTGTATTATAATAATCACCTTGTTACGCCTCCTCGAGGGCAGGAGGGGGTAACACAACAACTCCAGAAACTCGGTACAAGTGTAATAACAAAAGCAAGTTTAATGGCAGCTTTCTCACATAAACAATAACCCAAATTCATACAACAAATGTGGGGGAGAAAGGGACAGTTAGGTTGTTCCCAAAAAGACAAAACCAAAACTTAGCTGAGCTCTTACCCTGATGGGATTGACTCTGTATGCACGCTGTTTAATGGGTGCAGGACTGGTAAGAAAAATGTCATGGGATATCAAACTCGTCTGGGTAGGAACATCCCCAAACATACACCGGAAGGACACAATCAGGTTCTGAATGTCTTCAACCTGATTAAGTGACAGGTGAGACAAATAGTGGGACAAGTCAGACAGAATCTCACTATTACTTAGTCTCGTCCCCTGTGACACATCTTTGCGCAGGACCGCATCTTCCTCACTGCTTTCATTGGCTATATCTGAAGCTACGCATGCTATAGGGGAGCTAGACTTAACCTTGTGCGGAGTGAGGGGATCATCTTCATTCTCTCTATTCTCTCTAGAAAGATAATGTTTCGTCATGTTAATGTGGCATACTCTAGTCTTGCGACGACGATCAGGAGTTTGAACAACATAATTGGTCTCACTGAGTTTCCTTTCCACAACGTACGATCCAGAAAACCTTGTTTTCAGAGAAGAGCCCAGAATGGGGAGCAGAACTAGAACCTGATCACCAGGTTTAAACTGACAAGCAACTGCTCTCCGATCATAGTGTTTTTTCATCCTTAGCTGCCTAGCAGTTAAGGTGTCCCTGGCAATAGCGCAAGCTGATTTAAGGCGCTTTCTAATTTTAGCCACGTACTCAGGGATGCTCTTTAGTGTTTTAGTTGGAACAACTAGCTGTTCTTTAAGGATGTGCAATGGTCCTCTAACTTCATGTCCAAATTCAAGCTCTGCAGGACTAAAGCCTAGGGACTCTTGCACTGCTTCACGAGAAGCGAACAATAAGAATGGTATACCCTCATCCCAGTTCTTTCCTGTCTCCTGACAGTATTTGCAGAGCATGGACTTTAATATCTGGTGAAGTGCTCCCTGACTTTCAGGATGGTAGGAGCTTGATGTAATGTGCTCTACTCCTAATGCTTTTAATGCCTGAGCAAAGGTTCTAGACTTAAAGTTGGTTCCCTGATCAGTCTGGACTACCTTTGGAAGACCAAACACTGAGAAGAACCCTACCAGAGCTTTACTGATGACAGGAGCGGTGATCCTTCAAAAGGGGCACTGATTCGGGAAACCTAGTAGAAGCACACATCATTGATAGGATGTATTGGTTCCCTGACTTTGATTTTTGTAAAGGTCCTACAACACCTACAACACCACAACACTTGACTGACAGGATGACTCAACAGACAAAGGCAAAATACCCTCTCGAACGATAGACTGCGAACCACCCGTGTCTCTCAGTATTGTTACAGGCTGGTTGTCAACAGTATCACCTGTTAAAGAAACACAACCCTGTGTGATAAAAGGTTTGAAACAAGGATCTATTTCACGTTGAGATGTTTGGGTTCTGGGAGGCGACACATTTTGAATCAAACCCACGCCCTTGGGTTGCGGCGGTGTAGTCTTATTTTTTTTTAGTGCAAGGCAATCAGCAATGACATGACCTTTTTTATGGCAATAGAAGCATTCAGGTACCTCACGGGAAAGTAATGGTTGCTTAGCTCTGGCTTCAGGCTGACCAAGATCAGGCTTTGGTGAGCGTGTGATCAAAACCTTATCTGAACGAGGGGATGATGCAAACACATTTTTATGGGTTAAAATGAACTCATCAGCAGATTCTTAAAATCTTCCAATAGGATTAACTGACGAAGAGCTTCAAAGTCTTTCTTCACTTCACTTGCTGTGCACCACTTGTCAAAAAGAACTGCCTTCTCACGTGCAAACTCTACATATGTTTGACCATTAGACTTCTTGTGATTCCTGAACTTTTGTTGGTAGGCCTCAGGTACAAGTTCATAAGCACGAAAGATGGACTCTTCAGTAGATTGTATTTCATGCTATTTTTGATAGAGAGAGATGACACAAGCTCCAGTGCTTTGCCCACTAGCTTGCATTGCAGTAGCACAGCCCACATTTCTTTTGGCCATTCCAGTGCTGTTGCAATCCTTTCAAAGCATTAAAGTTGAGCCTCATAGCTTCCACCTCTAGCTGTTTTAACTTTACCTCCTTCTCAGCTTCAATTTCAAGCTGATGTATCTGAAGTTTGAGGTCGAACTCAGCCTTACGTGCTTGCTCCCTTTATGACATACAGTGGGGCAAAAAAGTATTTAGTCAGCCACCGATTGTGCAAGTTCCCCCATCTAAAATGATGACTGAGGTCAGTAATTTGCACCAGAGGTACACTTCAACTGTGAGAGACAGAATGTCAATAACAAAAATACAACTCAATACTTTGTAACATAACCTTTGTTGGCAATAACAGAGGTCAAACGTTTACTATAGGTCTTTACCAGGTTTGCACAC